ATTTATTTTTATTTTTTTCAAAGGAGAACATTTTGTAAGTTGGATCAAATCTCAAATTTCAAATTTTAGTTAACGAAGATTAACTATGCATTTTAATAATGCATAATATTTGTTTTTTTCCAAACATATTTCTCTACCACTATTTAAAGTAAAATGAAAATTCAGGCTTTGATCTGACCTAAAAAATGTATTCTTTCAAATAAAAAAAAATTGACAAATTAATAAGGCATGAGAATTGTCTGTATTAAATAATTCTTTTTGATAGGAATAAAAAGGAAAAATTTTATAATGAAGGTAGCAACTAAAATGTGAAATATCATTTTAAAATGTTATAGAATTGCAGAAAATTGGACAAATTGCTTATATATAATATATATATATATATCTTTTGTTATTGACAGTTAAGTTACATTTTATAATTTTACTATACGAATATAATATTACTTATTAGTAGAACTAATTTACTAAATAAATGATTATCAATTATCATTATTGTTGATGATGATTGATGACAGTATGGGATATCTAAATACAAATAGCTCTAAATATATAGCTGAGTATGACTAATAAATCCTAGCACTATTTAGCAAAACAAACTTTACCTAGTAATTATCTATAGATCATTGGTAATTCTCACGGGTGAAAATGTTAAGAATTACTAAAATAAGAATATATGCACACGTTATTTAGTAGTCTGAGATRGGTAAATCATGTTGTGGACTTGACACTCATTTATTCTGTAAAAATGTTATTATTTAAATATGCACCTAGGTATACAAAAATTCAACAAGCATAACATTTAACATGTCCAATAATTTTATTTTACGACTCTTGAAGGAATGACTAATTGCACGGTAATCAAAACAAAGTCACTGTTACATTTTTGTCCGATTCTAATAAAATCGGAAATCCACAAGAGCGAGTGTTTGAATAGCGTATCGATAAACTGATTATTATTTTCGACACGTTCAGAGCATCAAAAATCAAAATTGTCAACACGTTGGTCAAAAATGAAATATCGACCACAGCTTTGGTGTAGGAGGGACATAACAACTACAGTATGGGAAGTGTGTTTATGAATTATTATTGTTTGGACGGTAAAACCATAGGATCGAAACCAAATCGAATAATTAATATGATTTATTACCGTGCGGCGGCGACGTCACCGAATACTCACGCTCAAAGTTTGTTCTATTCGCTTCGATTCCGACAGAAAATAGAAATGGTCTTCACGTAAGTGCACTAATGTTAGTACTATGCCTAATATCCTAATGC